TAAGTGAACTAATTCAATGGAAACCATTCCATCGCTTGATGAGCTAAAAAAGTTTACTGTCAAGGAATTACGCGAGATTTTACGTCGTGAAAATCAGACGTCGAGTGGAAACAAGTCTGACCTTGTGATTCGATGTCACACAACTTTCCAAAGGAAAGATTTAAGATTTAATGATCTCTACCAATGACAAGGTTATTTTTTATTTTTCTAAGTTTATATACAAATGCTTCATTCTTAGGAATGAATCATAATAATTGATGTAATGTATTAATGATTACTTTTGATAAATTTATCTTTGATTATTATTACCATTCAATTAAGATTTTATTATATTTGTAATACTCATACCTATTTTTTTAAATATGTTACTTTACATATAGATATATATAGATATATAGATATTTTTCTTATTACAATGTGTTTGTAAAATATAACAAAAAAAAATCCCTGTTAATGTTCAATGCTTTAGCAATACCTGTAAATTGTAGGTCATGCCAATAAAGCTATTTCAAACCTAATCTCTCCTCTCCTCTCCTCTCCTCACCCCACCCCACCCCTCCCTACAAAACCATCATGGCCTCGATATGACTTAGCTATATATAACTTCAAGTGGACACTTAAAAGGTTTGCTAGTTACGTCATCAGCTAGTCACTGAAGCCAAACGGAGCAATAAAGATGCTGAACTACAATTAGTAATCAGCTATTTTATTCTTTTCTGGGTCGTTTTTCATCCAAGTTTCGTGGAACTACAGCAACATGYGTGGAGAAGAGTTTCGTTTGGCAATGGTAAAACCGAAACATGACAGACCTCGAGACTTTGCTGAATCTCCGGTAAATATTGAGTGATCGCATCCATATACGATTCCTTCAGTAAATCTAATATATCACGTTGAATTTGCTTTTTTTAGTGTAGATGTAAAAGTAAAACTTATTTGATGTGAAATAAAGTGGACACAATTAATTCAGAACATAGTTAGATACAAAACTGTATGAGATATAGACCGGTTTTGCCCGCACAAGAAATTTACTACCATGTAGTTATAAGTATAAACACTTAGTATGCAGTTCTTCACTAGATAATCAACGAACCGTAAGAATCATATGCATTAGTGAAACCCCTTACGCAAACAGTTTAAAAATTAACTTTGAAAATTTCTCTTTTTGCGAAGCCATTTCTTTGGCAGTGCACCAGTAGAAGAGAGTTAGGCTGCATGTAACGTTGTTGTTGTTGTTGTTGTTGTTGTTGTTGTTTTTTCGTGAAACTAAATAAATTGACTAAAAACTCTGACTGATAATTATCAACACGGAAAAAAGAATAGTGTCAGTCGAAAGTGAATAGGATTTCAGTTATGCGAGGCTGGCCGCGCGTTTCTATTATGAGATTTAAAGATTCCTATCGCTGGCCGGAACTAGTACGCTTTTCATCTGCATTACTGTCGCTAATGCACCTAACGCAACTCAGTAATATTATTACCATATTCGACTTCGTGGTTTGTTTGTTTGTTTGTCTGTATATATATATACCTGTCTATCAGTCTGAGTTGATTTTTGTTTTTGTTGTTGATGTTGCTGTTGCTATTTGTCTTATGTTGTTTTAATGTTTTTTGTTGTGATATTTGATTTTTCGTTATTGTAGTTTTCGACTTAAAGCTACTAAACCTCACATTAAAGAAGGTCTTTTACGAATCTAAAGCATTCGCCTCCGATCATAGAGGCCGGTTCGTGAAAGCCGAGGTTGTCGCGATCTTCATTCACGTCAGCTCCATATCCAGGGGCGGACCCAGGATTTTTTCAAGGGGGGGGTTGTAGCATTGGTTGAGGTACTTGTTTGGCGGGAAAGTAGCACAGGGTTCCCAAACGCAAGTAGGTCTTATGATAATGATTATTTGCTGCAGGCAAGCGTGGTCGTTTCAGGTCCCACACACGGCGTATAGAAAAAAAGCGAGCGAAATGTGTTCGGCACCCCTGTTTTAATAAAACTCGCGATGCTGTTGGTGTCATGAAAAATAATAATAATAATAATAATAATAAATCACGATGACTCTCATAGGGGGGGTTGCAACCCCCAACCCCCCCTAGATCCGCCACTGATATCGACTGTAAAAATATAATGAAAATTTAACAAGCTGATTGCATTACGTTCTAGTGGTTTCCATGGTATCTAGTTGCCATCTACCGTTTCATATTGGCCGTCTACTGCCTGGGCTGGATGATCTACAGTGGGTACTACTACAGACACGATGGGCCATTGTGGTTCATTTGGCTCACTAAYTGGGGCTACTTCTGTGTTACTTTGTATTTCATMCTCGCTACTCTGGTCACMCTGTGGTACCACTGCAAAGAAAAGCATCAGGTAGTGGTTGCCATGGARATGAGGMRAGTGGGGGATCACCCCGTAGAAGTGGAARAYGAAATGYCACTAAGATGGCACCATAAAGCAACATGGGTGATCTATAACTTTACTGCTAATAACGCAATCCTRATAACATGCCTCTACTGGGGACTGCTCTTYCGAGGTGGTGCTCTGGAGGGATTAGATGTCAGTACCCACCTCCTCAAYACAGTATTCGTTATGTTGGAGGTTATCCTGTCCTCCATACCCATCCATCTTCTTCACATCGTCTATTCATCGTGTTTTGTTATTGTCTACATGGTGTTCACGGTGATCTACTGGGCCGCTGGGGGTACGAATCCATTCGACGGAAAACCATACATTTACTCGTATCTTGACTATGAGTCTAGCCCTGGGCTAGCAGTGGGGYTGTTCTTTGGTTGTTTGTTAATAGGAGGACCGTTATGTCAGCTTATACTTTTTGGATTGTACAAGTTAAGGCAGCTGACTGCTATGAAATGTGGACGCGTGGACCAATAGACAAAACCACGGGAGGCCCACAATGGATTGCCTGTGAGCTTTCTTGAAACCATGAAATTAAATATATAATTTTTAATTTGGTTTGCGCTTCCTTTTTTAACGTATCCTCCGTCAACTAATACGGCTCCCTCCCTTGCTCCTTTTCTCCCTTCCTCTCTTCCTTCCTTCTTCCCTCGGCTTCCCTCCATTCCATCCTTCCATCCTGCCGTCCTTCCTTCCTCCCTCCCTCTCGATTCTTCCCTCTCGATCCTTCCCTCCCTCTCTCCATTCTATCCTATCCTAGGAATTTAGAAAGAAATTTTTTGTGGAGGGAGGAAGACCGGAGAGCCCGTAGCAGAACCCCCGAAGCACAGGAGAGAACCAACAACCAACCAGTATAGAGTTTGTTAGGTCTCCTCCTTGATTCGAAGCTTTTTCGCCAGTTTCCTTCTTCCGCAAAACTAGAGTTAGTACACAGGGCCCGGTTGTACGAAGCCTGGATAGCGCTATCCAACAGATAAATCATCTTATCCAGTGGATAAATTCATTGGATAACAGCATCGACTTATCCACTGGATAAGGATTTATCCGCCGGATAGCGCTATCYAGGCTTTATATAACCGGACCTAGTTCTTCGTGCTTGAAATACGGCCTCGCGCGCGCTTTTTCATTGATCATTAAACAACATATTTATTGGCCGCAGTATCCACCAAGGAGCCAGCTTTAAAGAAGAAGGGGTATTTCCAAATATACCGGCATTCTCTGCCATTGGACAAAAATGCTATCATGCCAGAATGATGAGTTCCTAGTCTATTCCTACATGTATTTTGTTGTGATAATAAACATATGCAATGTTKTTTTTTTTGCACTTAGATTCGGAATTGCGTCGAATCAGTTTTCGTCATCGTCTTGATCTTTCCTTGACACCTGTGTCTAYCCAGTAATCCTGGCACTAATGTTTCTGTCATTATTCCTTTAGTGGTTTTTAGAAATTCGTCAAATTTGCGGAAGCTTGTTTGCATTCTTTTGTTTGTTCACTTAGGGAAGTTTTCGCCAGTTCTTCGATCATCCGGTAGCTAGAGCTTGTTCATTTAACTCAGTTACTCTCTRAATCACGTTAAACACTTTAAACACTGCTTACTAGCAGCAGTCCCAAAGCTGCGCACAAAGTTTCGCCAATGTTCAATTCTTATTCATACTTTATCCTGCATCACTAATGGTTAAAAGAAGTGTTCTCAAATAAAATAGTATTCATTTTAAAAATGCTAACCTCATCGTTACTTTACGCCAAGGTTTTAAGAGTTCAAAACAGGAAATGAGGTTAAAAGATCTCGATATTAGAGCGCAAAAAAAGCACTTTGTTTTTACTTAGTAATTAGAATATTCAAGCGTGAACCAATTGAAAATCATCCATTGTTACGTAAATGCATTGTATTTGTAACTGTCTGCTCTGATATCCTTGTATATTAGGGTCGCCATTTACCACACGTTTATCTAACATTTATAGATATTCTGTCCCTTCCCGTACGATGCCAGCCGGAATGGACCTCAAGGAATTGCTTTTAAGTGAACTTCAGTTAAAGAATTTTCGCCTACTTTATCACGACGCTTCGGATTTTACAGAATCTCCGGTAAGTGTTGTTCGTGTACCGTTGTTTTAACGTGACCGCCATTGTCTAGTCGAGGAAACTATTTACTGATCTCTACAGTACTCACTACACAAACACCTTAAACCGCAAATAAACCGGTTAGAATCGTTTGCAAAAGCTGTTGAAGAAACAGAAGGAACAGTAGRTGTAAAATATACCACTAAAACTTGGCTTGGCTTGGGTGGGTTTTGCGTTTGTATAACATATAATCGAGATCTCTGAAATGCATYAACTCTAAGCACTTTCTTCAAACTAAAATCCAATTATCTTATTCTCTCAGCTCGCTTTAAAAAGACTTTACTCATGGTTTAAATCATAATTCGCTTCCATGTTGAAAATATATGAGATGTTGCGCTTAGCTTTATTCATATGTTATGTTTCTAAATTCATGTCGGAAGTCTACGCCAAGCTCTTGTAGCATTCAAATCGACTTCAAAGAAACGAATCGTCTTGTACTACTCACAGCTGTTTTTATCTAGTATTCTTTCCTCTATCTTGGAAATTCCTTTATTTTCAAGTGTTAGTAGTGAAGTTATATAGACGTATGGAGATGACAACCAGCCATGATTTTCTGACAGGTCAAACTCGTCGATGCTCGTGTGAATTCTWGAATAATTTTGATGATGAATGCCATTTTCATCCTTATCAATTATAAAGTTGATACAATGTTTAGTCTAGTTTCTCAAAATTTCTTCAAAATATAATTATTCCAATTCGYTTCCCTTTGCCAAAGTGTGACCCATTTGATTTATGGTCACGCAATCTCTGTTAAAGGTTCAGTAAACACCTTCTAATGGTTACCATGGTAACATCATAACTTGTTTTTTAAATTTCAGTTCTTTGCAGTGCTGTTTGTYGTTCTATATCGCCTTTTCTTCGCTATCTACTGTTTTGGTTGGCTCATTGCAAGTGGTCTTCATCCAAGTAATGGCGACGAGAAGTGGTTCATCTACCTAAYCAACTGGTCATATTTCTTTCTTACTGTATACTTCGTCTGCTCTATGATCCTAACAGCCATTTATTACCGCGGGGAGTGGATGGTCGGGGAATATGATGTACAAAACCATGACGTCCTTAAGCCAAAATCTCGATCAAGACCCGGTGAACTTAACCAACAACCTCAAGAAGATCTGGAAGAAAATGTTGTGAATCCCTTGGACTTACGTCACCAAGAGCCAGTCCACTGGTACCACCAAACAATATGGGCAGTCTTTAACATCGCTGCTACTAATGCTGTTGTTGTAACCGTGTYATATTGGACTGCGASKTACCCYMAKTACCCAGACTCCTACACTCCTAACGGTCTGGACATAAGTACCCATCTACTRAATACTATCTTTATTTTGATTGACATATGTCTGAGCTGTATGCCCATWAGATTATATCATGTCATTTATCCCATGTTATTCTTCTTTGTCTATGTTATATTCACTGTCGTATACTGGGCTAGTGATGGTACTAATGTCGGAGGTCACATGTATATCTATAAGACCTTAGAYTACACAGGGAACCCAGGATCTGCTGCAGCATTAATTCTAGGGTACATGTTTATTGGTCTGGTTCTTACGCAGTTGATTCTGTTTGGTTTGTCTAAGTTACGCTCTTGGATCAGTGAAAAGGTCTATAGCGGCAGGAGAAGAGGTTATGAAGTTAACGTGTAGTTGCTAGTGTATTGTAGGATCTGTTGTACCATGGATCGTATTATGTTAGATTGAAGAGTTAGTCAGTACCTACGCTATAGCCCCTACAGTAGATGTGTCATAGACCTAACGCTGTGTAGCAGATCAAAATTTACAGGGCAAGCCAATGGCTGTACTATAGCCTATAGTAAATTGATCCATTGTCCTTCCATTGTGTCATATAGACCCTACCGCGGTAGCCGGCAGACCTCAGGGTAAGTCAGTACATACYTAAACTCTAGGCCATACATTTGACCCATTTTAACACAGGCGTGTGTCAAAGATTTTCTTGTAGTCCYCAAATCTTAGAGGTATAGCCCATACAGTGATCGAGATCAGCTTGGTACTGAGCTATAGACACCTTGCAACGCGTTGGAATGTAGCTCAATTTGGAGGACACAGCAATAGGTTTCCAATTCTCATGAGATTGAACTTCATTTTGTTTTGTCCTCCAAATTGAGCTGCTTTGACGTCACATGCAAGGGWTATATAGYTYATAAGATGAYTGCATGCATTAGCCGGAATAATTTATTACTAAATCAGTAAGAATTAAGTATTCATCTTAAAAGAAAAATTAGAGACATTTATTGTATTTAATAATATTAAGCTTTCGTGCATGAGTATTTCTTTAAAATAATATACCTTATGACCCACTTTTATCGACAAAAAGTAAATTAATGAAATAAATAGATGAAGGAATAAAACTAGTGCTGAAAAAAAATGTTGAAATACATAGTCGTACTGAATGGTTTATGCGCATGCCCCAAATCACGGGACAAACCGCTCGCCTTATGAAGTAGATTGAGCATTTCGCGTACAACACTTGAATACTTTAAGGAGCTTATTAAGCTCCTCGCTGTTTACTGGAGGATTTAATTCGACTCGTTCTCGGTACTGTATGATATTCACAGCGTCGCTTCGTGTTTTTTTTGTTTTGTTGTTTTTTTTTTGTTTTTGTTTTTGTATGATATTCACAGCGTCGCTTCGTGTTTTTTTTTTTGTTTTGTTTTGTTTTTTGTTTTTTTGACCATTTGGTGGTGATCTGAAACCAAGGCCTAATGCACTTTTTTCGCTTGCACTAATAAAGCTTGAAAATTATTAATTTGAGTATTTTAAAGTACCTAAGATATACCCTCGAAGCTAAACTTGTTCATGGATTCCACTGAAAAATTCTTTTTCGACTAGCTTACTAACGAATCCTACACAGACAGCGTTCGATACGTGTTTACTTTTCGACACGTGACTTTCGACTTGTTCATTAAGTCAAAATCCCTTTTAAAAATTACCAAGGTCCTAAAAGTGAAATTCATGAATGACAAAAACAATGTTTAGTGAATCTAATGTCAAATCTATTTTTGTTTTTTACTCAAATACTATAATTTTTGAAGAAACTACAACAGATCGATGGTGTACACTTTGTAATTATAGGTGAATATAAATATCATAGTATCGACGCATGTTGGCTCAAAAGTGAATTAAGCTGATATGAATTAAAAGCCAATGATTGGTCGAAAATTCTCTTCGTTTGAAAGCAAAAATGTGATATAAATGAACCTAAGGTCTTGGCTAGATAAAACACTTAAGAAAAAAACTGTTTACGTCAAGCATCAGATCGAGGACTTTCGGACTTCAGTCCAGTGTAGGGTTTTGAATAAGCACGACCTTCGGTTGATTCTCTGTCAGCTTGTTAAAGAGAATTGCCTAAAATATCTGAAATATGGCGTTCTTTTCTAAGGCTACTGCCAACAGTGAGAGTATCTCRGGGAATATTTTACTGTGTCCTGTGTGTGAGGACGAATACGACGACCCTAAACGACTACCATGCATGCATACAGTATGTCTTGGATGCTTAGAGAGTGTTGTACCACAGAACTCCTTGATTATGAAATGTCCTATCGATGACCAAGAACTCCCAATGCCCAAAGGTGGAGTAAACGCTTTACCATCAGATCTCAAGATTATACGGCTTCTAGAGCTCTCTTCTGGGGACCAGACAACGAAAAAACCAAGAAACAAACCCAAAAAACCCAAGCCAGTGAGCGAAGAGGCGAAGAAAAAGCCTGTCGTTCGTGGACAGATAGCAGCGACTCTGGAAGAAGAAGCAGAACTGGTCAGAAAGCTTTTTACAGAAACAGCTAATAAAATTCGCGAAGCAGTTTCTGATAAAGAAAAGGAAATACTAAAAGAAATAGATGATTTGGTGAACAAGCAGTTGCGCAAGGCAGCCAGCGCGGCAAGCTTCTCTAACGGGGCMGATTCTGGTGGTAATGAAGGAGATGATGACAATAAAGATGAAGAAGACGGAAAGAAGCATCCATCTTTTATCATTGATTTGACACCAAGTAGAAAACTTCTTCAAATGGCCAGAGAGGAAGGATTGGGCAACATCAAGTTCGGGCAAAAAGCGACCACACCCGGTCCTGCTGAAAAACCTTTACCAATTAATAAACCTATTCCTTCTGCTGCTTCAGCTACGTCCGCAACAACTGGCGGCACGGCTGAGATCATCAATGCTGTTAACCTTCCAAACAGATATAAGCGCAGTTTCGGCCCCTCTGCAGTAGCTGTAAGCCACGCTGGTCATGTCGCTGTGTCTGACTTTGGTGGTGAGTGCGTCCTTCTGTTTGATCCTGAGGGGAATTTCGTCAAGAAAATTGGCGGAGAGTCCGGTGATGCAGGACTTGAAGGCCCAGAYGGCCTGGCTTTTYTGCCCRATRACAACCTCGTGGTCTCCGACGGCCCKTTAGATGGTGTACAATCTCTTAAACTCTACAAGCCAACCGGAGAATACCTGAAGACTCTATTTGAACTAGACACAAGTGACACAGAAGAGTTGTATTTTGGCCGTGTTACAATCGACTCCRAAAGCAGAATTATCCTGTCCTGTTCTGGAGAAGACCCGAGAGTAAGGGTTTTCGACAGCAATGGTAACTTCAAGTTTCAGTTTGGTGAAGGAAATCTTTCTGGGCCACAGAAAGCTGTTTTCTTTGGAGATAACTTTCTCGTCTCTGACTCAGACGCGGGGAGACAAAGATCCTGCATCAAGATATTCGACAAAACAGGCAATTTTGTCTCAAGTTTCAACGAAAGTAAGCTAAATGTTGGGGAGCAAGACAACATGGGTCTAGAYGTYACCTATCCGATACACCTTGCCGTACACGGGGGAACCATTTTTGCTTATCATGGGTTGTGCAGGAAGATCAGTCTATTCAAACTCGATGGCACATTCGTGATTGAATACAGAGCTGTCTCAGGCATAAGAGATATGTCTGTCTATGATGATGGTAAGCTCATTGTAACATGTGGAGAAGAGAGTATTTTACCAAGAAGTGTGCAGATCATGAAAAGCTTGTAAAATATCTTGGGGAAGTTACAACAGTTAATTCTAACCCCAAAACAGGAATACTAACAGTCCGAAAAGAACGAAGAACGAGAGAGGTCAAAAAGGTTACTGCAAGACTGAACTGTCCAATAGTGTGATTCTTGTTCTAATAAACATGTTATGGATGACTACTTCAATGTTACGATAAATAAATGAGTGCAGTATTTGATTCATCTAATCACCTTAGTTCCAAGATTTTCCTGTATGTGTGTAATCATTTATAAAGTCTGACAGTGAACTAGATATATCTCATATTTTTTAAATTCCAAAACATAATTTGAAGCAGTATAAAAAGATTCGGTACACACTACATGATCCTCATCTAGCAMTGATTAATTTCACTGTGAAAAATTCTGGGACACGGCACGGTTAGAGYGCGGAAGTGACGACATTTGTCGAACCAATCTCCGCACGTACATAGACTACATAGTATAAACYAATCAAAACGCTCGGTCAAGGCGCAAAGTCGGTTACTCATCAGTCGATGATCATGCAAAATCTTGCCGGTCTATATACATTTTTAGCTTTGGCGTAAMWTTTGATTTCRCGTTCCAGGCCACGTGTCATTCACTAGAGTATCATTTCTTTATTTAACAATTGCGTATAAAAAGAGACATGAATATGGATTCATCTGGGGRAAAAAATATTCACGTGGTCTGAAATGGGAAAACGTTAAGCCCAAAGTAAAGAGGTTTGTTGAAATGCGTTAGAAAAAACAGTGTATACTTATAAAAGCAAACAAAATAATAATTTAGAATTAGGCAATAATGAAAAACAATTTTCTTCAATATCCCTCTTTATAGTTACTCTTTCTTCTCTCTATTTTTTAGCCCTTTCTCCTTCCTCCCTTTTCTGTCTCTCATTTCTCTAAACTAAAATCTCCTGTCCCCTCCCCTACAGATAAAGAACTTTTCACACCTAGTAGGGGAGGGGTAGGGATAACAAAGACGGCCTGGATCTTCTTGAAATGAACGAACTACCATTCGAAACTTCACGCGAGATAAAAGACGATTCCAACTCCATCAAATATAGTGCATTGCTATACATCATTGGCAAGATGGTTCATGTAATAGCTCTTGGACTTGCTACCGTCATTATATGGATTGCTCAACCGGGACTTAGTAAGTAGTTTGACATGTTTATAAATTCGTTATACTGTATAAAATGGACCACGCTATTCCCCAAACAAGATTACAAGCAATGTTCATATTCTCTTGTTACAACTGTGGATCATTCGTAAGGTCCTTCATAATACTACACAGTGAAATCCTTCTGTTTTGGTCATTTTTACTGGTATTTTCTCAGCGTTTCGTTGTTATTAGTGTCGTACAGCTTTGATTATAATAATGTAAACTTAGATCAAGTCTGGTTGCCCGAGTGATCAGTGCCCGCCATCAAAAATAATCTCTGTTTTTCCTTCTTCCATTTTTTCTTAGTTCAATATGAGTTTTTCTTTTCTTTTTCTTTTTGGTATATAAAGTCTGACTTCTTTTTTCTGAGGATTTCATGTTTAAGAGACCCAGTTTTAAATTACCTGCCTTCAGACGTATCAAATACTTGATTGTCTCACGATGTCACATAAGAAAAGAGTATGATAGATCCCCCTCCCTCCCCCCCNCTCCCAATAAAAACATCTTGTCAGGTTTCACAGATCTATTCCTGAGCAATCTCGTACCCAGAGCCTGCGTTTCTTTCGGCCTGCGGCAAAAAACGAGGGCTCTGTCATAATCCATTTTTGGCGCATGCGCAGCTTTCCGGAAGTGAGACATAATCAATGAAAAATCATGCTTTCAAACCTGCTTTCAAACAGAGTTCTGTGTTTACTTCTGATCAAAATAAGAATTAGAAATCGGGAACATATTTTTTTATTTTTTGCAAGTCTTTTAACGTATATGCTCTTATACCGGAAGTCCAAGAAATCCTGGTCTCAAAAAATGGATTATGCCAGAGCCCTYGTTCTTCGCCGCAGGCCAGAAAAAACGCAGGCTCTGGGTACGAGATTGTATTCCTGAGTTACTTGAAGAGCTCCCATAATTGCCCTATTTCACTATGAYGCCACATCAAAACAATTTATTGTTTAAACGCAAAGGATCATGGTCGTCAGAGGGGGTCAAATCAACACAAATTCACCAAAGATTGTTCTAAAACCCGTATCAATCCACGAAGAGAAGTAGAATAGCCAGCAAACGCTCAGAATATCTCTTAATACATATTAACACATATTATATCTGAAAACCAGGCCATTTTAGATTAAACTGTTTCGCAAGGAGCAAATATTGTTGAATTTTCTATTGGATTTGGCGATTCTATCCCCCACATAAACAAGCAGTGACGTCATAGCTAGTGAAATAGGGCAATTTATGAAGGGGAGGGGGGTGCGAGGAAATTAAACYGGCTAAATGCATACTAGTGGGGGATAGGCACTATGAGGATTTGAAGAATGTTCTCCAATATGGGTGGTAGGGGTGGGGGATGTTAGCCCTGGGGACTCCACTCAGACTACTAGGGGACTACCAATTTTTTCATGATTATATTCATATTTCATTTATTAATTTATCCACTATTCTATTTATTTTTTATTCTCAGCGGCCTTATTCCCATGGCACCCTACCCTGATGGCAGTTGGAGTAAGTATTATATAAACATACATGTATCTAGCAGACACAATATATGGTCTCAAGATCATGGCATGTACACATTGTTTTATACTCAAATCTCCACCAAGACAGATGTCTTAATCAGAACGTCATTTTGTAGATCATTCCTATCCTCAAAAGAACAACAGGCCTAGAAATAAAGGCATACACATGATTACGAATCATCTTTACTAAATATGTGTAGGAAAAATGAAGGGTTGATTAAGTTATAATCAACTTTATTTAGAGAATGACATGTGATAGTCACAACTGAAAAACTTGTGGTTCTCTAGCTATTTTAAACATCTATGAGTCACAGCTAAAGCTTAAGCTATTTGCAGTTATATATAGTAGCACACAGCACCTTTTACTCAGATTTGTTTAGACCCTGAGTGAGTGAGTGCATGTTAAGTTGGTAAGCTGAGGCTTAAACCCACAATTATTATTATTCCAACCACCCCTGCACAATAATCCACTGCTCAACTAACCAAGCCAACAAGTGAGGTAATTAAGTTTACACAACCAAAACATACAGGGCCTGCATTGATATATAGTAGAGTAGAAGTCTAGCAAAGTTTAAAACTATACATGATGGCCATAGAAACTTTAATTATTGTTGATTTTTTTTTTTTTCTTTTTCTTTTTTTTGTAGTTTGGTTTCCTAATGACAGAAGCCATCCTGATGTTTTCTCCTCAAAGTTCTGTATTCCCATCATCAACACGGGCAACTAAAGCTCAGATTCACTGGATGATACAAGCCATATCAATCACATGCACAAGCCTTGGATTTGCTGCTATTTTCTTCAACAAGAAGCAACGAGGAAAAGACCACTTCACATCCTGGCATGGCCTTTTTGGACTCATTACTATGATTCTTGTCCTCTTGCAAGCCTTCCAAGGAATTTCCATATATTATCAGAAATTTAGTTTAATGAAAGCATCGTTAGGTCAGCGTAAGCAGCTTCATGCCCTTTTTGGTGTGCTTGTCTTTACCTTGGCTTGTGTTACAATTGTTCTTGGGTATTTTTCCAACTGGTTTGTGAAGAATGTTAATGATGCCGTTTGGTGGGGTAGTGTTTTATCAACTCTGGCAATGGCTGGAGTGATAATAGGACAGGTAACCAATGAGTATGTTGCTAGAAATAAACCCCTGAAGTAGGAAGACAGCACTATAAACATTGAAGTTGACAGCTAGTTCAACAGAATATGATGTAGRTACTAAAGAGAAGTGGGCCAAATTAGAATGGTTGTGACCATTTTTAAGCCTTTTTATTCTAAAGTATGATTTTAAAAACAAAAACATTATTCACTTTATAAACTTAATGTATGAACTGCTAGCTATTATTGAATGTATTTGAGACGTTTTAGCGTAAAAAGGAAATAAATCATTATAAATTCACAGTTTTGTTTTTATGAATGAATTATCCCATTTTCAAAACGTGACATTTTTCATCATTTTGGCCAAAAAGCATGGACTACAACTAATGGTTTTGATCATTTTTGGGTGTTTTCACATCTTTTCCACTCATCAATAAAGTGTTACATTTTGAAAAATGGCCAAAAAGCATGGACTATAGCTCATGGTTTTGATCAATTTTGGGTGTTTTTCACATCTTCTCCACTCATCAATAAATTGTTACATTTTGAAAAATGGCCAAAAAGCATGGACTATGTATAGTCCACAGTTTTGATCGATTTTGGATGTTTTTGACTAAGTGATAAAAATTATCTTATTTTGGAAAAGGCTCATTTTGAGCCATTTTTTGCCAAAAACCATAGACTATAATATATAGCCCATGGTTTTTATTGATTTTGGGTGTTTTTTGACTAACTGATAAAAATTATCTTATTTTGAAAAAATATATAATAGCAATAACTTTAATTCTTATCAAGCCCATTACACCTGCCTCAATGGTCTTAACAAATACTTAGAAAATTTGAAAATAGAATAATTTCAAGCCATTTTTGGGATAA